GCGAGGGGTTGGGCGCGAAAGCCGGGGCGGGCTGGGGGGGAGCCGCAGGGAAAGAGGGGATCCCATGGGAATGCCACCCTGGGGAGATGCCGAACGGCTCCAGGGATGCTCCGGCCAAGGATGGGGCACGGGGAGGACGGGATGGACCGTACCCAGCGCAGGCAGGAGGAGGGGGAATGGTTTTACAGCAGGAAAAGCTCCGTGGGAAGAGGATCCCTCTCCCGGGGATGCTCTAGAGAGGAGGGGGGCCGCACCGAGACGCTGTGCCCTGCATCCCCCATGGGACAAGGGGTCCAGCCGCCCTCCGGCCATCCCCACGGCCGCGTGCCGGATCCGGCCCCTCCGCGGCTCAGCCTTACCTGTCTCTCCAGTGAGACCTTGTCGCACTCCAGGTCCTGCCGGCTGGAGCGCTCCTGCAGCAGCTCTGCCCGCAGCTGGTCGATCTGGGGACAAGGACATGGCACGGGTTGGTTTTGCCACATCCTTCACCGCCGCGTTCACTCGGCGAGAGATTGGGGCCACCGTGGTGGCCACTGCTCAGATTTCTTCCCATGACACCAGTGCTGCAGAGCACGGGTGGACTCGGTGCACCCAAGAGCCGCACAGTGGCTGCCCCACGTGGCACACGGCCGGTTGTCGGTGACACCAAAAAACCCCCCGACGAGAGGATTTTGGTTCCTTCCTAAATTAGCTACCGCCGTCCTGGCGAGCGGCCCAGAGACAAGGGCTGCAATTTTCCACTGGAGGGTTTAAACTGGTTGGACTGGGAATGGGGGACCCGGCTGCGCTCCCAGCTCTGCCCGGCGCCGTGGGGCACGCCGGCGCGGCCGTGCCGGGGGCAGGAAGGGTTTGATCCGCCGACAGAGCGAAACCAGAACCACCCCAGGGGCCTCTTTCAGGTTGACCAAGGCGAAACACGCGGCTTTGTGCGTTATTTTAAAGTGAAGGAATTCGGAGTTTATATAAAAAAATTGCTTGAATTTTATTCAAGCGCCCCGAAACGCCGGTAGGGCCACTCCTGAGCCGACCCAGCTGCGGTTTCACCCGCACCCCTGCGCTTCAGACACGTCCAGGATTCACGGGAAAACTCTCCCCCGGGATGTGCCCGTTTCCCAGATGGAAAAAAGCGGGAAACCCACCCATTTTAGCGACTGGCTGGAGCCCGAGGGGTGGGAATCCGCCTTCCAGGCCCCCGGGCTGGATGCTGCCAGGGCAGGAGGGAGACGGGCTATAAAGCGGAGGAGCTGCCGATCCCGGGATCCCGGCAAAACCCAGCGCCGCCGGATGCCGGGAGCAGCTCCCTGTCCGCCCGCGGAGCTGCAGCACCGTCTCCGGCTCCGCAGCTAACGAGCGGGAGGGTCGGAAGGGAGCGCAGAGCCCGGAGCCCGGCGTGGTTTAAGCCCCAGCACCAACACAGACCTCACCCTGTAATTTCCGGGGACTTCACGCTCGTATAATTGCCGTTTGCGCCCGAACAAGAGTCTCGGACACCGTCACCTCGCTTGTATTTACGGTGACGGAGGGCTCTGGGCTGCTCGCCCATTAATAACCACTCATTAATGGGGTTTTAACTCCGGTGACCAGTTGCACCCGAGGACCTGAGTTATCCAGCACTGTTTTGCCGCAGCTCTGCCGCGGCACCATCCGGGTTAAGGGCGGCACCGTGCGCCATACCTGGTCTCTGCTCCGGTTCACCCTCTCCGTCAGCAGCTCCACCGTGGTCCTCTCCTCGTCCAGCTCCACCTCCAGGCGCTTGGACTTCTCCTGCGAGGAGACGGGACCAGAAGGGTGAGCAGGAGCCCCGGGGTCCCTGCGGGCAGGGGACAGGGGGCAGCAGGGGCTCAGGCCAGCCGG